TGAACGCCTCACCAATATGTTTAATCTAATAATACAAGTTTGGTTAACTGCGTCCTTTTAAAACTGGAATTAATATGCATGTTCACCCCCTTTAAGGTAATTATGCAACGCATACGACGCCTACACAAACTTTAGGCCTAATAAGAATCGATTAATCATGTTTTACCGGTTTAAGACCAATCAGCCTCTTATAATTTTGAACTCTGCTGCTCCCATTCTTGCTGAAGTTCACTCTGTTTTTTTTTTTTAAAAACTCCCGCTCTATCTGGAAACAAAATCTTGAAATTGTGCATCTATTTACTCTCACTGGTTTTCTGGTTCTTGTTCTATTATGTTTTCAAACTACTGGGTTACCATTCTTTGCCCAGAATTGTGCTATTTTGAATACGTGTCCAGTACCTCGTTAAGCTACTGTCACTACTTGATTTTCAAAAACCATGCTTTAACGATTTTTTTATCTGTCGCTAAACTCAACTACTGTTATCTATTCCTGTTTTCTGAAAACTCCTATCTTTGAGACCTTAAATGTGTTTGAGACGTGCTGATTACATGTTTACTTGTGGAGGGATCTGTGAGCTTTTTATTTGCCTTTGTGTTCCCTTTATGTGTAGTCCTACTTGTTATGTATGTCGCTTAGCATTTTGTCCTTTAAACCTAAGGGTTCAGCTAGTCCCTACCTTGTAGGAATAGTGGTCCTAAATACCCTCTAGGATTTATAGGATGAGACGGGTAATAGCATGCAATAAGTAACGATACCATTCCACGCTTTAATACCTTAACGGGATGGGATGGGTATAATATGGATATGATGACTGGTGCGCCAATATCACGTGCGACCCCTCTTCTGAGTAGTGATTGCTGGATATTGCATTGATGTGATCCATATTATTTGTAAACCAAGGACCCCCTTCCCTTTATTTGCTTTCATCTCTTCTTGTAAAACTTTCAGATCCTTTTTCATAAATTTTTGCCCTCTCTACTTTCCTTCTAAAGTTTTCAACCTAATTGCAATGTTATATGCGATTCCTTATTTGAACCTTGATTGTTTACTTGTAAAGTCACAATTGTAGCATGGTCGGGACCACACTAGTGGATCTTGAGGGATGCCTAACACCTTCCCCTCGAGATAATTTCTAGCCCTTACCCGAACTCTGGTTTTCCAACTCAAACTCTTCTAAAAAGTGTCCTAATGCACTATACTCATTAGGTGGCGACTATTCAACTTCTAAACCCAATTCTCGAAAGGGAATAGAGTTGTTCTCCCAATGTCGTATACCCGATTTCGACCAGTAGAAAAAGGGGACGTCGACAGTTACTGTGTTAGGCACTTTAAAGCTAATTTTCAGAAGGCATATCCCAACAAGGATCTCCATGATTTGATGTGGATGGCAGCAACAAACCATCAACAGCATAAATTCCGGATGCACATGGAATATATCAGACAAGAAGACGAGGTAGCCTATCGTTGGTTAATGCGACATGACCCTGAAAATTGGACGTTGCATGCGGATGGTGGCAGACGATGGGGAACTCTGACTACAAATGTGTCAGAGTCTTTCAACGGGTTATTGAAGTCTGCAAAAGGATTGCCTGTCACAGCCATGGTGCGGTTGTTGTTCAAGCAGATGGCAGAGAGATTTGTTGAAAGGTCTGCAACTGCAACATCATTGATGGAAAAGGGTGTTGAATTTATGCCAGTGCCTATAAAAAGATTTGAGAAATATAGATGGCGAGCGCATTGGCATTCATTTTTGCAGTATGATAACGAAAGAAATGTTTTTTGAAGCTCGCACCGCTATCCATCAAAATCGAGGTAATAATGTACATACTATAAATGAATCTAGAAGGTTATGCTCTTGTGGAAAATGACCCATCTACCACATGCCTTGCTCACATGCCATCAAGTGCTTTCAACAAGTTGGTTTGGGTGTAATCGGGCTATCTCAATAATCCTATAGAATCCCGTGGCCTGGAGGCGATGGACTACACGCTCGTGGAGAACTCTGTCATGAAGAAAATCTCACAGGTCATCCACTCTCCTAGCGCAGAGAGCCTGGGAAAGTAACTCTCCATCCCATATATGGGCGGGCCTATGATCGCCCTGAAGCACTAATAGCTCACGAGAGTAAGGGCTGAGACGTATAGGCGCGTCCATGTCGTCAACTGTAAATTAAACAACATTAATTGTATGTTAATTATTAAATTGTACAAAGTATATGTAACAATTTGGGTCCATGCTCGATATTTTAGGCCCAGTAGCACCAAATTTTCGTGAATATTTATGTGTGTCAATTTTAATTTTTTTATAATTTTGTGTGTGTTTGTTTTATAATTTAAATTCTATATTTTTTTAGAGATTTAATTGTACAAAGTATATGTAACAATTTGGGTCCAGGCTCGATATTTTAGGTCCAGTAGCACCAAATTTACATGAATATTTATGTGTGTCAAATTTAATTTTTTGATAATTTTGTGTGTGTTTGTTTTATAATTTAAATTCTATATTTTTTTAGAGATTTAATTGTACAAAGTATATGTAACAATTTGGGTCCAGGCTCGATATTTTAGGCCCAGTAGCACCAAATTTTCATGAATATTTATATGTGTCAATTTTAATTTTTTAATAATTTTTTGTGTATTTATTTTATAATTTAAATTCTAAATTTTTTTAGAGATTTAATTGTACAAAGTATATGTAACAATTGGGTTCCAGGCTCGATAGTTAAGGCCCGGTAGCACCAAACTATCGTGAATATTTATGTATGTCAAATTTAATTTTTCAATTATTTTGTGTGTGTTTGTTTTATACTTTAAATTCTAAATTTTAACAAAGTATATATTTTCATCTACCATTCTAAAATTACTTAAACTACAAGGATTCTATGCTAAAATACTATACAGTTTACTATGCTAAAAGTTTCTACATTTTACTACGCTAATAAATAAATTAAATATAAACAACATATATATTTTAATCAGATAACATTAAAAAAAATAGCTACAACAATACTAGTTTCGCAAATAAAAAACACATAATGACATAGTAATACTAATATCTAAATACTTATATTAACATAAAAAATTAAATCTAAATTTTACACTAATATCTAAGTCCGGATAAATATAACATACTAGTTTTGCAAATACAACACAAAAGGACATGGAAACACATTCAATAGGCAGTGATATACATTATTATACAAGTTTGGACATAAAATAAATTGAAATACCTCGATGTTGTGTGTGTATTGCGTGAAAATTTGAAGACGAAGGAGATAAACCACGAGTCCAGAATGCTCTACTACGATGGAGGACCTACGTTCCTGACCTTTTGTGTGACAGGAGGGGACTACATTTTTTTTTTTTAGATTGTCGAGCAGTTGGGGACGGGGGGACCAGAAGGAGAAGGGAGGGTTTGTAAAAAAACGGGGGAGGGTTTTGTCGAGGAAGAAGACGAGTTCAAATTAAACGCTATATATAGCGTATGATTTGAAAACGCTATATATAGCGTTTAATTTGAACACGCTATATGAGAAGTCAAATCGTCTGACACATATAGCGTATAACAACAACACGCTATACTTAACGGCAGACGTTACCGTTAATATATAGCGTGTTGTTGTTGCACGCTATATATAGAAATGTCGTTTTTTTTAATACACTTATTTGTGTGTTTTGAGTCCAAACACACATTATTTAGGTTCCGGACTCATAATAAGAGTAGGGAAAATCTTTTTTATCACTTCATTTTGATTAATAATATTTATTTTTTATCAATTCATTACATAATCATGCTAAATTTATGTGGTTGTTAGATTTAAGAAAATCATGAAAAAGAAAATATTTAACTATAACTTACATCTGGAGTTGCAATTTTAGAAATTTCTTAACTATTTTTGGTCTATTAGGTGATGCTATTATTTGATACATTTGGTTTTTTTTGGTTAAATCTTTTCTTTTACGATTTTTTATTAAATTTAAGTCAAAATTTATTGAATTTTAACAAAGATAATAAAATACTTTTGATAAAACTTAAACAATTAAAGTTGCTTGTGAAAACATCACGGGCTAGCCAGTTTTCAGACTAGTAATTGAAAAATAGCCAGCATTTGCAAAGTCATTGAAAAATAGCCATTATTTTGCTGCAACACGGAAAGTTCCAGCATAATAGACTGGAGATTGGTGCACCTATGTTAGAACTTCCGGCATATTATGCTGGAACTCCAATACACGAAAAGTTCTAGCATAATATACTGGAGATTAGAGCACCCGTATATGAACAAATTTGGTGTGGTGGCGTCGTTTCCTTTCTATTTTCTCTCATCTTGTCATTCCTTATTATTAAATAATCATATTTTATCTTTTATCCTACTTTTTAATATAATAATTCTACTTCGCATCTTATTTTTTCTTAGTAATGTTGCTAGTTTATTTTTCATATTTTTGGTGTGTCACATCATGAAATGATGACAAATGATACAATCTATCCAAACATTGTATTCATCAAACAATACAATGCAATATAATACGATACATTATGAAATGACATGTAATAAGAATCAAACAAGATGTTAGGCACTGTTTGGTTGGAAAATAAGTTATCGCATGATTAATTATCCGAGATTAGTTATCTCACCCTCTCATAGGGATAAAAATAACATTATAATTTTGGAATAACTAATCCCGAGATTAATTATACCGTTATTTTATTTCAACCAAACATGAAATGAAGGTGAACCCGGATTAACGATGAGAAGCGGTCAAATCAGTAGCAAAGGCACCAGGACGGACGGTTGGTTGAACCGGGCGATAGCTTCGCGATCGATAGCTCAGTGAGGTACGCCACCCGCCCTACTTCTAATATCTCAAATTTAATTTCGAAAGTAATTATCTATTACCCGTACCAAACGATCCCTTAAGGGACTATTTTAAATTTAATTTTAATCCCAAACATACGGGATCATCTATGTCATTTTTCTCAAAAAAAAATTGCCCCTTTTTTCGTTCTGAAAAATAAGAGAAAAAGAAGAGAGATATAAATGCTCTCCTTGTAGAATTCATGGCGGGACTTAAGAGCACTGCAGCTGCTAAAGCGCCAAAATAGAAGCGGCAGAAATGCTCTACTGAACAAACCATGGTGCCTCATTCACTTCAATTTCTTCGTTTCATTCCCTCCTCCATTCGCCGCCTTTCCATTTTTCCCTACAAACCCCAGGTAATTTTATTCTCTCTTTACATATACACAATTAAAAATATGGGTATTTGTTCCTTTGAACTTAGAATTCAGTTATAAGTATAGTTGTTATCTTGTCAGTCTTATTTTTGCTTTTTGTTATAAGTTTTCTGCTTATTATGTGTCTTTTTTTGGGGGTTAATTATTTATCAGAATGGAATTGCTTGGACAAGGATGCTGAACACTGATGCATCTTGGGCAGGTGATAAAAACCATCTTTTCTTGTTTAGTTTTATTTTTATGATTCTAAAGTTCAAAACATTTTTAATTAACATAAAAAAGTTCAAACCGTTTTTTTTGGGTGGGGGGTGGGGTGGGGGTTACCTCTTTCAGTGGCACGTTTCAGTCCTCTTCCTCATTATTTAGAAAAATGATCCACCGATTCAGGTACAAGATATTATCATTACCGCCTAGACAATTAGACATCCAAACCGTAATCGCAACGACCCAATTGCAGGAGCGGAGCTCTACCAACTGAGCTATATCCCCTGAGCCAAGTGGAGCATGCATGAAGTAATCGGATTCTTCTTCTATTCTTTTCCCTGGCGCATCTGGCCATCCCGGACTTGAACCACAGACCTCGCCGGTGAAGTAAATCATCGCACCTACTGTCCAACCAATTGGGAGAAAATCAATAAATTCCTTTTGGGGAGCGATTCATCCTTCCCGTACGCAAAAAATGAATTTGATATGTTATAAGACTTTGGAACAACTAGAAAATTATATTATAAAATGCTTGGTTGCAAGTTCTGTAATTGTCTGGTGCTTTTGTGTTATACATACCATTTGTATCTAGTCTTTCAAACTTTTCGATGGCTGAATTTTGCTGTTCCATGTTTCCAGGTTAGAATTATATAGCAGGTTTTCTCTTTGAGACCCTTCTTAACATTTGTACGCTTAATCCCCATGTGAAGCTTTCTTGTGTTATTCTATCTGATCCGAATAACACTGACTAGGAAAGGGGAGAAAAGAGAGTGAATAATATGGGTTGTAGAGTTACACAGAGTTAAAAATTTTCTAAACATCTTGTTTCTTGATTAGTCAATGATTACAAGAGTCTAGTTGTGGACATCAATCCTTAATATATTGAGATTAGGAGGAAGAATTATTCTGTTACGCCAAGAATATTGAACATGTTGATTTTTAGTTGATTGCTGTTTACCATGGCAACTCCTTCTCAGCTATGTAGCTAGCACATGTATCCACAAGTCTGCTTGGTCAATTTTTTTTTAGAACTCTGCTTGGTAAAATTTGTTTTGCATTTACTAATTGTGTGGTATTACTATATATGTTTCGATTTAGTATGAAACATAATACTTATTGCGGTAAAATATCGGTTCACTTACAAATCAAAGAGCAATTATTTGGCAGAAAAATTGACAAATAGGAAATAGGACGAGATTATGTTCTCAACTAGTAAATGTATGTAAGATAATGCTTTATTGTATGCTGCCAAACCAATTGCTTGTCTCCAAGTACAGTTTTAGGTTGGAGTTACCTATTGGTGTTAAACTGCATGGAATCTTTTTGTGGCTTCATCGTATATCATGCTCCTCGAGCATTCAGGTGTCTCTTAATAACTCCAACCTTGTTTTTTGTTGAATCTCAGAAGGTGAATTTGATGATATCCAAGATGATACCAAAACATCAGAGAAAGCCACTGCATTGCATTTGGCCCTCTCGCAGCTTGTAGGTGATTTTGGCAAAGAATCAATGTTGTCCTTGCAGCGCTTCTTTGGTGCTAGACGACGTGCACCTGTTGTACCTACTGGCTCGTTGAGGCTTGATCTAGCACTTGGGATTGGAGGACTACCCAAGGTGATTTTATATAAAGTGATTACATTAGATGTGTTTATTTCCAAATGTGGATTTTGTCTCCGATACCGGTTGCATAAATGGGGTCTTCATGTAGTGCTGATGTGTTGTTCTCTAAATTTTTTAATCTCAAACAAGTAATGGCTGATTTTCTGTTTTCCTGTATGTGCAAAGGGCCATGAATGTCTGATCTCTTGAAGCAGTTTGCAATTTTCCTTTGCCAGACTTTAGTTTCTTTTGAGCGGAGAGGATTAGGACAGTATAGTCTATATTTGTCTTAACTTATCTTGAAAATAACCGTATTGGATTTATAAATCAGCTACTGTTCTCAACCGGCTTGTTTAAGGCTAGCATCCAATTAGAAGTGGTTTTTTATTGGCTTTTAGTGGCATAATTGTCTGAGGATAGTCATGTGCCTAGAGCATTCTCCTTCTTTTCTGCTGTGAGGCTTCACCAAATGGATATATGTCATTTAACAATAGGAAGATGCTAGTGCCATTTGTAACCATAGTTCCTTTTCCTCTGGGGAAGGGTTCTTCCAGTACATAGTAGTTTCCGGGGATTATTAGTTATAAAATAATGATTTCAGCGTGTGTTGCTTCTCTGGATCAAAGTACTTCTTTGTGTGTTTTAAATTTGTAGTGATCTGTATAATGATTTTAGTGCTTGTTGCTTCTCTAAATCAAAGTACTTTGATATTGTTGTTGTAACAAGGATATCGCGGGTATTAACACTTGCTGTTCATTTGAATTTTCTACTAAAGGGAAGAATTGTTGAAATTTATGGACAAGAAGCATCTGGGAAGACAACACTTGCCCTTCATGTAATTAAAGAGGCTCAAAAGCTTGGAGGTGAATAGTTTAATGACCTTTTACTATTCACAATATGTTTTCCTAGCTTATTATTTACATATTGTATGCTTTTGTTTTCTTTTAAATAGCATCCGCTGATAGAATGAACGGAAACTTTATCTTTTCCAGTTGGGTACTATCCTTACTTTTTTCTTTTGCATAGTTCTCATGGCTGCAAATTTTTTGTGTTTATATAGATGAGCTTACTTCATTGGCTAACAAATGGATTGAGTGCTTCTTAGTTTTATATGTCGCAGAACTCTTTTTCTTTTTTTGAGAATGAATATGTCGCAGAACTCTCAAGAAAAGACTACTTTTGTTCTGATCTTCTTCTTGAATTTTGATTAGAAAACAACTAGATCTTATTTGATCTAGTTTGACACAAAAAGTGATGCCGCTTGAAACGAGGGGCACCACATAAGGATTTAAAAAACGACGTTAGACAGTAGTGATATTAAACAGTTTGATCTGCAGATGTACTCATGGACATTGTGCAATCCATATTCTTTCCAACCTAATTACTTAAAAGAAACTAATGAAGAGTAAATAAGAAAGTGATTCTAACTCTCAACGATAAGGATGATTTACCTTTTGAAAGGAAACATTTCAATGTTTAGCATGAGATAATGATATCCAGAATGGTAAGTGTGAAATCTTTACAACCATTTCAGTTTTTCCTTCCTCAAACAATTTTCAAATTAGTTTCCTCTCATCCTATTATCTTTGTACTGATAGGTTACTGTGCATACCTGGATGTCGAAAATGGAATGAACCCCTCTCTTGCTGAAGCAATAGGGGTTAATGTAGAAAATCTCCTTATTTCACAGCCAGATTCTGCTGAGAATCTGCTGAGTATTGTTGATACCCTGACAAAAAGTGGATCCGTGGATGTAATTGTGGTTGATAGTGTAAGTGCTTCCCTTTATAATTCAAGGCTGATTTATTTGCTCCAATTTTCCCAGTATATGTCCACAATTCCCTTTTTCATTCTTGTATTTTCTATAATTTACCCAACCTGTTACTTCATCCTATTGATCCCCTAGACTCAGGCTGCTAATTGAAATTTCTAGTTTTATTTTTAAATTTTTTTCTTTTAACAGGTGGCAGCTCTTGTTCCCCGACTAGAGCTTGATGCTACTCTAGGTGACTCTCCTAAAGGCTTACAATCAAAGATAATGACACAAGCACTACGTAAAATTCATTCTTCGTTATGCAACTCTAGCACACTAATTATTTTCGTTAATCAGGTTTGTTCTGGTTACTAGAACACATTATATCTTGCTATCCGTTTTCTGTTACAGCTGGCGTACTGATCTGACCTCTATTTAGGTAAGATCGAACAAAGGATTAGCTCGAGGCTCAGGGCGTATGGAGGAAGTAACTTGTGGTGGAAATGCTTTGCCTTTTTATGCTGCTGTACGACTTAGAACGATTAGAAAACAATTGCTTAAGAACAGGGATAAGGTAAATATTGCATGTTTTTGACTCATTGGTTCGTGCCTTCAGAAATATATTTTAGTAACCCAATTATGATATGAATTATTCCGAATCTGTCATTCCGTCTCTTTCTTATGAGCATGAGAAGGAGAAAATGCTATGTCCCTACTGACAGTTTAATTTTTTTTTTTTACAAAACATAATTAATCAGATAAACAACTGAAGTCATCAGGGTAAAAAGCTTAAAATCATTTAAGTTATGCCATCGGACCCAGACATGTGTGTGTGTTAATTGTTGAAGAGAACATATGAAACTACTTCATTTGGATATTTGAGATGCTCATTGGCTAGAAGCTAATCAAATAGACGCGAGTATGAGCTATTAGTCATTTACAGTGTGTATTATTTTCAGATTGGAAGACCTCTCAATCTGTGATCCAGAACATTGACTTATGACTTTTCTTAGATCGTGTACACTTGCTATTACTGTACTATTCACTCCCTCTAGCAAAACTAGAAAGAGCTTCTGCTCCTTCTCTATAGTGTGAATCTCTCTGGGTGTCATGTCTCCGTTCTTAATCCTTACATTCACCCCAGGGAAAAAAAAATTAAAAAAAAGAGAACTCTTTACCTGCTTGTCTTTGTTTTGTAATACCCTTTGTTTCCAATGGACTTGTCAGAGATGAGTTTAAGTGATGTTGCTTTGTCACTTACTTGGCTTGAACTTTTTTCCAGATTACTGGTCTTGGGGTATGTGTCAAAGTCGTTAAAAATAAGCTAGCTCCTGCAGCAACAGAAGCTGAACTGAGGGTACAGTTTGGGGGAGGCTTTTGCATAAAATCTGAGGTTTTGGAATTGGCTTGTGAACATGAAGTCATTCTGAAAGAGGGAGGGAGCTACTTCATAGATGGAGAGGTTTTAAACAGTAGACAGGATGCTGAAGAGTATCTAGCTGCCAATGGTGCTGTTTTAGCTAAGATAGTCGATACTTTAAGAGATCAGCTATTTGTGAACAAGATGGTAAAAACAACTGATTAGATAGTCAGTTTCTGGTTTTAATCAACTCCAAAAATTTTGCTGCCTCGTCCTGCAACAGTATCCTGCTAAAGCCTGCTGAAGGAAAGCTGTGTTAATGAGCAAGGAGCAACTGAGCGTTTATTTCCTCTGTGGAGCATCTGCAGCAACCATGCTATGCAATATTTGTGAATCTTCTTTCTGTCTTATGGTCAAGTATATATTTTATTTTGGGAAAATACATAAGTTGCTCCCTCAACTTGTGCCGAAAAGTGAGTTTCCATCCCAACCTTTACGGGTGTCGTTTTTCCATCCTATACTTGTTCATACAGAATTTAATTCCACCCTAAAAGCTGATGTGGCAAAAAATTAAAAAAAATAAATAAAGTGGTGGCGCGTCTTATTTAAAGCAAAAAAAATATTTTTTTGGCANACCCCCCTCCCCCAAACCCCTCTTTCTTCTCCATCTCAACCCCATTTCTTTCTTCTCCATTTTCACTCCGCTCATTTTTAAGAGCAAATTTTCTTGCTCTTTTCCCTTTCTTTTTCTTCAACTTTTAGATTCCTCCGGCAAACTTCCCCATTTCTTTCTTCAATTCCTCCGGCAAACTTCTATATTTTCCGGTGATTCAACAAACAAACCCAACTAGATCTTGACCCCCTTATCACCAACCTATGGCGTCACAAATTTTGTGTAGTAAATTTCATTTCTTTCTTGTCTTTTTTTCTCTCTTTGGACTCAACAAATTAATTCATTCAAATGAAATCAAAGCCATGAACCCATTGATAATGGAGGTTTTGGTGGTTGGTATGAAAAAAAGAAGAATAATAATATGTGAATGAAAAAGAAAACAGAAAAAAAGTCAAAAAAATTTAATTTATTGCATTTCTGTCATGGCGTTGATGTGGCATGCGCGTGTGGAACACCCCAGGCCATGAAAGTGGTATTATGCTTCATAAGGTGGTATTAAATTCACTTTGGACAAGTATAGGGAGGTATTAGGACACCCGTAAAGGTTGGGATGGAAACTCACTTTTCGACACAAGTTCAGGGAGCATCTTATGTATTATCCCTTTATTTTTGGTTTCGAGATGTGAGATCACCAGAGTTGTTGCTGGACTGTGTTTTATCTATAGTTCAAAACATAGAGGAGGAGCTACTTCTACTGTCCTTCATCAAGAGGAAAATTTTGGGGCTTATATTTTTGGTTTGTTTGATGAAGATCAAAAGATTAAAGAGGCCTGAAACTATGAAGCATTTCTGACTATATTCACCAAACAGGCAACCAAACTACCCTTTTTTGCCAATTTTGGTTGTTTATCTGTCAGTAATCTTACATACCAAAATGCTTTTTCGTCTACATTCGGTTAGTATAATCCATTTTCTTTAGTTTCCAAAATCAGGTGTAATCGGAGAGCTTAGACCTAAATATTGTTTAAGTTTATTCTTCAAAGAATTTTACATGAAATAATAGAGAGGTAATCTTTGGTTTAAAGAAAGAAACCAAAAGAAATTAAGCTAAGTAAATATAGCAGACACAGACTAAGCCCCTAAGCAAATACCAAACTTAGAAATGTTTCCAGGTAAAAGGCCACCAAACAACATCAAAAAATTTCTGCCTAACATACTCAACTCAGACAAAAAATTAAATAAATAAAACAAGGAATAACAAACATTGAACTATATATACATTGTGGCAAGTCTCTGCAAGTGTTAATCCAGTAATAAAAATTGTGCGCTTGCTTTCATCAATCAACTCTGGATAGATTACTCAAGCAGCTTCAAGTTCCAATTGTAGCTTCATTTTCTGATTGTTTTCAAGTCCAGAAGTAATGGTGCAAATTCAGGAGTTTCTGCTTTCCTTTGTTGGAGGTACTGAATAGAACAGGTCAATAATGTACGACACTCATCTTTGGTGGACAGAGTTACCCGGTACTTGTGTTAGTAGGAGGCAGCAATACTCATCTAGAATATGCTTGATAGCAAATATAAGATCTAGAAAAAAAAAGTATTTCTTCAATCTTGGTAAAACACCTTGTACACTCAGAGCTATCTGCTAGAAGTTGTGCTCTTTCTGTTACTGTCATTCATTTCACCATTAAATGAATTCCAAGAGGAAACCTTGAGCTTGTAAGGAGAATGTTGACCTGAAGAATATGTTTCGTGTAACCTTAGATGTTGCTTCGGCGTGCTCATTGACCTTGTTTTTGCCTTTGCAGATTCCGTAGAAGCCATGTAAGTAGGAAATATAGGAGAATTTGGTAAAGAGTTAACATCAACATTTGATTTTTGTTTTACATTAGAAAATGATCTTCTTGGGAGCGAAGAAGGAGAATGTAGTTCCTCTATGAAATCTGATCTATGTACTTTCCTCGCTTTAAGTTGCATCATTCCGTTCATGTCAGCTAGAGGAACATTTGAGTCTGTAAATTGATCAAATAACTCTACTTTTCTTGGTGCCTCAATTTCTGCCACCTGATGATCAAACCTGCAGCTTCTTCGGTTTTTCTTGCTGGTTAATAATTCCTCTAAAGTTTGATCATCTCTTCTCTCCTGAAAAGAAGCAACATATTGTAAATATGTAACTTCTATACACTGACGGTCAGGTTACCTAAAAGATAAGTACAAGTAACTGTCTATAAAAAGTGAGATTAGTAACGTGGAAAAAGAAGCAGGCTACCTGCTATAGCGTATATAAGTTAAATCTTATTTTATTAACAAAGGAGTGAGAGAATACAAATGCAAGTGAAGTTACCCGATGTGAAAACGAGTATTTCATCAAATGCTCTCTTTTGGCAATGGCTTCTTCTCTTCTTGACCACAAGGCTTCAGTGTCTTGTTCTGAAGCCAAGTTGAAATCCCAAGTCCTATGGCTCTTGCATTTAAGCTGCAAATGACCAAAACCATATAACAAATATGAAAACAGATGAATGACAATATTCAAACTGCAAAAACTAAATAAACTTTATCATTTTGGACAAACAAAATCGATTTCCCTTTCATTGAATCATAGAGAAAAGTAGAAAGATTTTTCTTACCTTTAATCCGTTAGATTTCATGCTCTCGTTTGGGCTATTAATGAGCTTCTTGTCGCTGTAGTCGTGATAATCCTCAAAGGTAGGGAGTCTAATTTGATAAACTCTTGCCTTTGGCTTTTGAAGAGGCAACAAGAAGTTCAATCTGGCAATGAGTCTTCTTCTCACAATTTCACCTCGAATCACTGCTTGAAGCTTCACCAGTCCCTTTAGAGCACTTAATGCTTTCCTTGCCTACACAACATTCCACAAGGTTATAGATTAGGCCAGAGAAGTTTTGATAAGTGAAAACGAAAAGAATAACTAAGTAGCTACAAAAACAAGCATAATATATTCTTACGGGTCGTTTGGTATGCGGACAAAATAGTACCGGGATTATAATCCCGGTACTATTTTATACCACTTGAGAAATGGTATAAAATAATACCACATTTGATGGCATAAGATGGGATACGATGGGATAATAGGTGGGATTAAATTTATACGTTGTTTGGTTGGAGGTATAAATTTAATCCCACCTCTTATTCCACCTAATCCCTCTTACCAAATGACCACTTAAAAATTGTGCCTAGCTATATAAGGGAAGGGTTTAATTAAGTGAAGAGAGATTTTCCGACGACAAAAAAGCTTTTCTTCCCAAACGAGGTGATAGACCACCTTACCAGCCAAAGGGAAGAAAAAAAAAAAGACAGGGTGAAACCTTAGGTTTTCTCCACTTGCTTTGCAGTACGAGTCTCATACAAAGCCGTGCTCCTCTAGAAGAAGAGGGGCCTGCTTCCTAGCAACTACTACGTATATTTTTTTGGGTGTATGACTCAGTTAGTAGAGCATTTGGCTGTTGACATAACGGTCGTAGGTTCAAATCCTGCTATATCCTTACACTCTACTAAGAACAAAGATGCATAGTAGCCCCAAAGATGGCTCTTTGGTCTTTTACTACCTAAATTCTCAACAAAAGATTTGACTAATCTTGGAAACTTTTTAGTCTTATCAATTTATCGATAAATGGTTGTATGAAGATCTTCAAGACGCTTATAGCAATGACTGCAATTTCTATCCTGATTACTAAGTTTAGTGATGAATTACTAGCTAATACCAGTCAAATGGAAGTCCAAAACAAGTTGATAATGGAATTGCAGGTGCAAAAACACTAAATAGACTATGGACTAAGGAAAATTTCAAGAAACACTAGAGATGATGCTTACCAGGTGGCCGCGATAAGCACTTTGGATTTTAATGGCAGCATCTTTACGTTTCCTTTTGAATTCATTTGGAGCATTCGTTAGACGGATAACATCAGCAGCAGCATTAGCAGCAGCAACAGCAGCCTCAGCAGCAGCTGCTGTTGCTATAGCAACAGCCAAAGCATGTTTCCTCTGCTCTTCCTTTGCCTCATTTAATGTTTTCTCAGGTGCTTCTATAGCAATACATTTCCTCAACTTGCACCTTCCAAAAAAACATTTCCATTTCTTTGGTTTCTGAAAATGTTTTTCATAATTTCCAAGTTTAGAAATCCAAAGATTAAAACTCACTAGTAAGCTACAGAATCTTGAAATTCAAACCTTTTGATCAGCTGTTGGTTTTGTCTCAGGAATGAAAAGTCTCTTGACAAAAGTAAACCAATTTCTTCTCTTTCCCATTTAGAAATTCATAAGTTTACACAAATAGATTTATCAAACACCTTCCACCTTCTGTATTCTGAAGAGGAGAGCAGAATTTCAGATGCATTTCTATTCCATTCAATAAAACAAAAAGGTGTAAAGCTACAATATGAAAACAAGAAACTCTCTCACATCAGCAGAATTGTTCATTTTCACAAAAGGACATTTCTTATGATGACAGCTAAGTGTTCTTGAACTCTTGGAAATAATAGATAGTTCAAAACTTTTGAGTTAGCAGAAAATTTAAGGGACATACCAGTTTTATGGACATGCAAAATTTGGTAAACATCAAACAACAAGTCTTGCCAGTGATTCTTGAATAATAATTGTTGTTTAATTTTCTCCCCTAATGCATGTCTCTTATATCCAACAAGGTGAAATACTGACCTCACTTATGCTTTGAGAAGCACACCATGTGCTGTGGAATATGAAATGGAAGAGTGAAAAGCTAACTTTAGACAAAGGGTTCAGGAAAAAAGAATTGATGTTTCAATTATGTTAAAGTACTTTTGGTGGTGACTTGTGGGAACTCTTTTTAACATAATAATAATATTAATAATAATAAAAGGCCCTCTTCTTTTGCTCCCTTTCCCCTCTTCTCTAACTGTCATTTTC